ATCAAGGTTTGGTGACATCTTATGTCTTTGTCCGTTAAAGCGATCGTCTTAAGATGGCCCAGCCTACCCCCCCCCCCAACCCGCTTTCAACCATGCAACTCAAAGTCCCCTTGGTACGGGTTGCCCAAAAAGCAGTGGTTGCTTCGGACCAGGAAAAAGGCTGGCTAAAGTCTGTGTTCGTTGGGTTGCGTTGATTTAGCTACCATCTCCAAACGTGGATTTTCTGGATGTGGGGCAGATGCGGATACTTTGATCCTAAGGGTTAAATGTTTTCTGTGTCCCCTAGTGCTTTCAAACATTACCTTTGGGAAGCCAACTACATTATGAGCTTCCTTTATGGTTGGAGCAAAGGGAACCCGGCTGAACCGGCAGAAGGTGTTCCTAGTTGTTGGTCCTATTGCAGCTGGACATGTCATTTCGAGTCAAGCTAACCAGAGCGATCTAGTTCAGGTTCATTAAAATCAATGACATCAAGCCCTGGAAAAACCAGACATACTGCCCATGCCCAGTTCTTCAACACATATCTGAACAAATATGTGGAGGATTGTTTCCCACGTCATAAGGCAAGGCACCCATCGGTCACACCTCATGAAGTCAATCCGAGGGCATCTGCCCTTTTTCCTGCCAACGGAGAATCCGTTGCGAAACCGCCTCAAAGCTAGGGCACCGTCAAGATGCTTGGTTTCCTTTTGGTGTTGGTAACATACCCACAAGTTGGGAGTGCCGCGGAGACAGGTGGTTTCCCCCTTCGAGTGATGATTGTAACGGGAGTCTCGGAGAAATGTGTCTGTGACTTTTGAGGATGTCACAATCCTCTTGTCTTTTGTGGATAGAATGTAATTGGTGACTTTCTGTGTACCGGAACCGGTCAGGGTTCGTCAAACCCGAACCACAGCAGACTTGATGTCTCAATGGCATGCGTGGCAAAACAATCTTTCCGTGATACCAGTAATACCAATATGGGTAAATCCCATGACTACTTTATCACTTTGAAGGAATCCCGTGGCTATCACAGAAAGTGGCACTAACACCAAACCTCAATCTTCCACAACCATCCCAACACATAAAGCAAGCCTAGCCAACAATTGAACCGTCAGATGAATCTTGGGCGTCAAGGATCGACCTCTTTTAGTTTTTGGGAATGGATGGGGTCCGTTAAGGCTTCCGCGCGTTGCAGTGCCTTCTTTTGAGAAACCACGATCTGCTTGGTCTTTGGCATGTTTTTTTTTCTGTGCAAAAGCATCCACTTTCGAAATATGTTGGAGACGTACCAACATCTACCAAAAGCTCGGGTTGTTCTCATCTTTTCGGTGTCCATACCTCTTCCTTCCCTCAAACAGCTCAGAATTTGCCTCCCCACCCCCACCCACCCACCCAAAGAAAACGAAAACAGCGCAAGAACCCCCCCCCCCCCACACCCCCACCCCACCCCCCCTCGGTTTCGTAGGTGGCCTGGGACAGCGGCGCGGACGTGGCGGTGCCGAACCGCCAGAGCTCCTCGTGGCTGCTGCTGGCCACGGTGGCAGATGGCCGGGGATGTCCGGATTTCAGTCCTCCCCACCGGGGACTTGACGGTACAGCCCTTGGGCTCCTGAAACCTTGGTTCATGCTGTGGATGGACGAAATCCTGCACCACCTAAGAAACCCTGGAATCATGATTCCCATGTAAATACCAACAAACCATGGTTTATAATGGTTTCGCAGTGGTGCAGGATTTCGTCCATCCACAGGTGTCCTTTTTGGCTGTTTTGGCTCGAGAAATGGATGGGGTTCGATGCCTGGTGTTTACCTGGTGGTTGAATCAACCAGGGAAACCCATTTGTGCCTCGGTTGCTCCCGAAGGTATCCGGTTCCAAAGGCTTTTAGCATTTTAGTGTTTGCTAGTTGCCGAATTGAACCCACTAAAGGTTAAAAACTTTGAGCGGGGGAGGGCAGCCCAGAAACGCAATACATCCAAAAACCAAGTTCAGATAGGGTTAGCATATCATAAATACATATATATATATATATATATTCATAAATACGTGTATATATATATATATGTATCCGATAGAAGATGGATCTTTTGAGGCGCCTTGGATTTTCCCGGAAAGCCCTTCTAGCGTGGGGGTCATGAGAGACCCGGGTGCGAAGAGGGCCAGTCTATACGCACGGACAGTGTGGCGAATCCACTCCGAGTCGAAGCTTTCGGGGAAGAATCTGTTGGGTTTGTCTCATGGCCTTACATGCGCTTCCCTTTCCCAGTGGATTATAGGTGTTTCGCCGCTAGGAATCCGGAACCCATCTTTCTTTCGGCTTTTAAAGGGTGGCCTTGCTTGGATACATAAAGAGGGGAATAGAATCACTGGGTGGGCGTTCTAAAGAGGACAAGGAGGTGTGAATGGGATGCGCCGACCACTTGCGCTCGCAAATCAACTTCGAGACTAATTGTGTCTGGACCCCAAGCAAATTCTCAGCTCATGTAGTTGGAAGCCTAGATGGCTGTGCTATAACGAAAAAAAACGGGACCCGCATTAATGGTGGGTTTTCCAGCCATCGCTTTGATGTCCCGTTTCTTCAAACCTGGTGATAGGCGGAAACGCCACAGGTTGCCACTCTCAAACGGGTTGGCTTTCCCTAAGCCAAGGTTGGATGTCCGGATTTCCCATTTTCCCCATGGTTTCGGCTGACCCACCGAAAAAGCCCAGAGGGTCGACCCCTTGGTACCGTACTGAACGAGGTCATTTCCGAACGACCCCTTTTTTAATGACCCCCCTTTGTAAGCTTTAAGCCATGAGGCACCAAACCAACCCACCGAATGGAGAAACTTCCTGCCCGTTGCCCTTTCGTTCAGCCTGGGCTCCGCAGGCAGCGGCATGGTGGACTTCTACAGCTCAGCGCCGCTGGCCCCAAGCACCGCCACTCGGCCTCGACTTGGGCGAAGGACGAATGCTTTGGGATCCAAGCGTTGGACAAGAGGAAGTTTGTGGTCCAGTGTCTATGTTTCAGTGGCCCAAAGTTGGACGAGTGCATTTTGCTTATAGTCAAAAAAAGGGTTTTGTAGCCCAGTGTCTAGTGCGTTGTTGTTGTGTGAACCTCTTTTTTAGGGGGGGACAATGGACCATTATGAGCAGTTTTCCAGGATTACATATGTCCAACCAACTTGTTGCGAACCTTTGAGTTGGATCTTGAACTCGACTTTTGGTTGGATCTTTGACCTGTTGGATTGTTTTTGTTTGGAGGGGGGGAGCGAGGTTTAATGATCCAGACCTGGGTGTGACTCTGCCTCCTTTTACCGGAAAGTAGATGATGGGTTTCCCCAGAAGAACAAAGCACAACTTGCTCAGGGGTAACCGAACGAAAGGTTTCCCCGGCAGAAGAACCAAGACCTGTTCAGAGGTTCCCGAGCATCTTGGGGACGTCAAAAGCAACGGCTTTCGGCGCTACAAAGCAACGTGCTCAGGGAAAAGCTGCCACCAAGGTCCCCCGCCAAAAGTCAGTTTTCGGCGCTCGGAGCGCGTTTTCGGCGGGCGGAGCGCGGCACTCGCGGGGCACGCTCGCCAGGTGACGTATCGCCAGACCTTCGCCTGCGCGGCGGCGGGGTGCCAGGCCACCGCGCGGCCCGGAGAGCAGTCGAGTGGGAGGTCGGGAGTTCTCGGGTCCGGCCGGCGATGGGAAGGATCCCCCGCAGATCTTTTTTGCAGGGGTTTCCTGATCCTCAAAACGCTCATGGCCAGGACTTTGCTGGACCTCCGTTTGTTTGCCCTCGCTGTCGATTTTTGGGGCGGAGCTGGTGGCCGTGCGGAGTTTGGGTTCTTTTGCCTCCCCGAACGCCTCAAAGAAGTTGCTTGCAAAAATGCAAATTCCATGTTACACAAAAGAACGGCATCGAATGTGTCGCTCATCCATGCATCCCAGAAGGCCGGCTTGCCGCTAATGCGCCCTATCTATCATGTTGCTGGTGCGCAGTAGGGAATGAACATTCCCTTAAAGGAAACCACCAGTTGGATGGTTTATAGGGGTCATTCTCTCATTCCCTACTTATTGCAGCAGCAAGTCATGTGAACGGCATCCAACTTATCAAGAGCTGGGTCAACGTTTGGGACATGTTGGGACCATTTTGTTACTTCTTTGGGTGTTGACTCAAGTATGATGAATAAAGGTGTGTTTTTTCAATCCGGGGCTTAGGGTGGAGGGTTGACCAAGATAAGGAACCATTCTCTAAACCATTTCGTTCACGCGATGTGCGTTTGAGATGCACTAAACGCCCCCGGCTTTGGCCCATTGTTTGAGTTGGGAGATGGCGGTTTATGGTGAACCTGTCTTCTTAATTTAGATGTTTCACTTCCAGGGCAGGATTGACCCACGCTTGGTTGGCTAGAAGGGTAAGCATTCTAGCTGAACCCCACTCCACCCCACTGGGTGCGGCTCCAGACATTGGGCCGAGGATCTTCCGGGACATCCCTCGGGACATGTCGCGCACCTGCGCGCTGGACCTGGACGTCTACGTCACGGACTTCACCAACGACGAGCACAGCGCCAACCCGGAGATCGTCGCGCCTCGGCGCATCCAACGTCGCCCTGGGCCCTTGACAATGGCTGCGTCTCAATGGCCGCGTCTCAAAATAGGGGGTCCCCTTTTGGGATAGTCGAAACCAAACGGAAAACGAACAAATCGGGGTCCCCTATTTGGAGAAAAAGCCAAATAAAATTACCCCCGAAACGGGCTGAAGAGGCTGCAAGAGGGACCCGTGCGGCCTGCTGAGCTGAACCAAGTGTGTGGATTTCAGAAGCTCAAAGCGAGCCTATAGATGCCCTTCAGGGCCACTTTGTCCACTTGGTAAAGTCTATGCTTGGATTCTTCTAGGGGTTGATTCCCCGTTCTTTTCAACCATCGTCTTTCAAAAAACGGCCGTTTTCCCTGGGTTTCCGAAGGTTTTCTAGAAACAAGGATCCCTGGAAAGAATGGGGAAGGTACCCCTGGAATACTACAGCCTTGACTGCCCTCTTTGATCTTGTGCAGCTGCTCAAGTTTTCAGTGCCATGGGGGTGACCACCTCCAAAGCGCGGCCCTTGCGCCACCAAGCGGGGGAGGAAGACTACGTGCCTTCAGAGCAGTTCCACCAGGTGGAGTTCGAGCCTGAGTCCTTTGCGCATGGCAGCGTCCGCGAGGCGCTATGCCGCGCAACATGTGCTATGGCGTCGGGCAGAAAAATGGACATACGTATTGTTGACACCGTGTTATTATAACAAATGGATATTCATTGTTGACCCCATATTACTCAACCTCTGTTTATGAATAGGGGGTGTTCATTTATGGGTTTAGTGGGGGAGTCAGACCACTTTTGCAGGGGAAGGCCCCTCTATTAATAAACTGGTTGGTTAATAGGGGGTCTACATCAGGTCCAAAGAAGTTCTGTTTTTTGTTTCTTTCGACCCACTGGTTTTGCGGGCCGGCTGAGTTAAAATGGCAAAGAAGGGTCCCAAGATGGGTGTCCTTGAAAATAGGGACCCCCTCCCCCAAAACAGAACAATAAACTAACTTAATTCAATCAATAGGGGAAAACAAGCACACAAACAAACAAACAAACAACAACAAACACACAACCAACCAACCAACCAACCAACCAACCAACCAACCAACCAACCAACCAACCAACCAACCAACCAAACAAACAAACAAACAAACAAACAAACAAACAAACAAACAAACAAGCAAGCAAGCAAGCAAGCAAGCAAGCAAACAAACAAACAAACAAACAATGCAATACACAGACACACAAGCAAACAATCAAACCCACCCACCCACCCACCCACCCACGCCCGCACGCACGACGCACGCACACACCCACGCCCATGTGTGGGCAAACAACCGCGCCAGAGGGTGCGAAATCTGTAGCCAACCGCTGGCCAATTGTTGCCTGGAGGCGTTCAAGGGGCGCATTTTCTCCAAAGAGTTCGAGGAAAGGCAGATTGTCGTACCCGAGCCGGGCGGAGGATGGACGGCCGTGACATACCAGGGCAGAAAGACGTACCCTTGCGTCGCCAAGATTTTCCGAGAAGGAGAGCACGCAGAAGATGCCAGGAAGTGGGATCAGGACCTTCTGCTTCAGAGCAAGTGCGAGCAACTGGCAGAGACTTTTAACCAGAAGTTCAAGCCAAGCCGCCGCATCAAGTTCGCCAAGGCCTTGCTGTTTGAGGTTACCCACCGCGGGTCTACCAGCCAGGTGTGTTCTCGCAGTTGGGCTACTGGTACTATCGCAGGGGTGGCCGTTCCATTGTCAAAACGGCATGTCTTTTTCACTTGCGGTTTTCCTGAGTTTCCACCAAACATACCAAAACACTGGCTTAAGGCTTGTCAGTCTTTCCTTCATGTTTCTTGTGTTTTTTTTTAAGGCCGACCAAGCAGCCATGTCGTTTTCCGGTGGGATTTCTCCCAGGTGCGTGGGGCATTTGCCCTCGCAGCGCCGGAGCTGGCGGCGGTGGCCTGGGTTGCCTCTGGGGCACTGGGGCTGATCGGCTTCGGTCTGGGCTCCAAGGAGCAGCCAGCCAAAGTCAAGGAAGGCCTGGGGAGGGGGCTGGGGGGGAGGGGGGGAGGGGGGGAGGGAAGGGGGGAAAAAAAGCAGCCAGCATTGGCGCGAGTTGTTTCAAGCTGAAGGCAACATAAATGGATGAAGTGCGCTGATGGAGTCTGTGAGTTTTCAAGATATATTTGCTTGAGGCGAGAAGATCTTGGTGGAGCCTTATTTGAATGGCTTCTTCGTGAAAGTGAACAGCAATTCCGGGAAGTGGAAGGATTCTGCGGATGCTCGGGCGGCACAAGCCTTCTCGCACTGGACCTGGGCACACACAGAGGGAAAGCTCTTGGTATGCGACCTGCAGGGTGTGCTTCAAGAGGACCGGGCTCATTGGGGTTGCCCAACCGACATGGGTTCGTTGCACTTGAATCGGTCCAATACTGGCCAAAATCCGGCACCACCCAAGACACCATGGGAAGCCATTGTTTGTTGGTATTACAGGGAATCATATCATTCTAGGGTTTCTTAGGTGGTGCAGGACTTCATCCATCCACAGCATGGTTTTCCCCGCACAGACCCCCTTAGTTGGCTATGGCTCTCCCTTGGACGATCCCGCCAGAGGCGAGCTTCAGAGAGATTGAGCCCAGAGATATGGAAAATGGCTGGTTTAGTCTGCAACTTTTGTCATTCCCAGCAAAGGATCAACCACTTGTCAATCTAACGCAACGGCTCTGGCAGGGTTTCAAACCAAACATCACCTGCCAACAGGTGATATTTGTCGATACGCAAGCTATAAACTATTTCCAACAACCTTACTAAAGGGCATGTAGTAGGTCCCCCCAACAACTGTTTGATTTTCTTTCCCATGTTCAAGATCCCACTAGATGTCCAAAAAGCAGTGGTTGGGTGCTGCTACTGGTCCAGTTTTCTCAATGAGCCCAGGAACACTGAAGCAGACAACAAATAACCACCTGGCGCCAGGACGGCACTTGGCTCCTCACCGACCCTGCAGCACACTCCAGACACGGAGGTAAGGGCCCGACCGACCTGGGATGTGTAGGGGTGCACGCATTCTTCCACCACCACAAATGCAACGACCTCTGCAAAGGCTTAGCCAAGCCTGACTCATGGACGCCATGAGTTGTTTTATTTCTGCGCCGCTCAGTTTGTTTCTCCGCGTGCTTTCCTGAAAAAGCAGGAAGCTTATGCTTTGGGTATCCATTCTGCCTCAGGATCTACCAAGCTCGCCGCCCATCATACCATCCGTTAGCAGCACAACATTCTCATGGCAAATGGCCGATGCTTCTCTTTGTGCTCACAAGCAGGAGGGAGGCACGTGCTATGCCCATGCCGCTGCCACGGTGGTCAGAGCAGCAGTGGGGCGCATCATTGGGCGCACTCCTGAGCACTTTGATCGTATGGTGGGCCGCATCGCAAGCTGCAGCCAGAATAGGCATTTTTCTTCCCCCACAAAGAAAACACTGAGATCGTAGTTGGTGGTTTGGATTGGTGGCTTGAGATTTACACGGTAAATAGGACGCGACTACCAAACCACCAATCCAAACCACCAAATACGAAGAAGCTGATAATTCTGCGATTTGCAGCCTGCCCTAAGCCTTTTTTAGCCTCCGGCGCCCTAGGCATCATCAAGAAGTACGGCAGCGACGGCGGCTGTACGGCTGCAGTGCTGGCAGACGAATGCCGCGGCTTGAATCTGAGGCACGAGTTTGTGACTTGCGAGGGCGCAGAGAAGGCGCTGGAGATGGGGCATCCGATTCTGGCATGCTTTTGGCTCACCAAGAAGATGTGGAAGGCAGGGTCGCTCACCCAAGTCGGTTCCCCAATAGAAACTGCCCCAAACCGATTGTTTAATCATGAATGGCTCATGATTTGAACAACTCGGAACACCATGATTTGAACAACTTGAACTTGTCATGGGTTAAAGTTTTGGGGTTCAGTTGCCCAACTCGGAAGGCCTTCTCCAAATTCTTCCAGGACAGCCCCTTCGGCGTCTTGATGGCCCTGCCGGCGCCTGGCAAAGATGTCACCGACGGGCACGCTGTGGTGCTGATGGGGCAAAAGAAGGCTGGGAGTTTGCCAAATAGCGCCCAACGACATGGGAAGAGCGGTCGTTGGATGCTTGCAAGGAAGCCGTTGTGTTTGTTACCTCTTCATGTGCGAGGAAAATATCTAAGGTCCTAAATCCGTTGGGGAGTGCTGCCAATGGGGGGAGTCCTGCCACAATCCGTGTAGGGCCAGCAGAATGTTTGAGGTGCTAGTTTCTATATGGGGGGTTGATCAAAAGGTCCGGTAAACACGGGATGACTGGTTGGAAGCCCACTAGGGAGAGGATATTTCCCACATGGGAAAAGTTGCCCGTGGTCAAAACTGACCCCCCAAATAGCTCAACCAATGGCATGTGAGGAAGATGTCCTCAGGACTCGGACCTAAAGCCATCGATTTGGGTGCAAAGCCGTGATTCTTGAGGATACCCTTGTTCACCTTTGTTTATAGGAAGCCAAGCACAAACAACCAGGTCCCACCACAAATACCTGCCCTAGGGTTCAACCCCATTCAAATGGCAAGGACCCACTTTGCATGATGAAACTCCTATGAACAATAGTTGAATATCAACCCATGGCTTTGCTGCCCTTAATCCCTGAGACCACCCTTGGGCGTCAGGACGCTTTCTTCTTGAAGAACTCTTGGGGCCCGGACTTTGCATCGGATGGCTTCTTCCGGGTCAGCAAAGGTCTTTTTGACCAACTTGAGACCACGAAGCTTGGTTAGCCATTGCGCCGTTGTTTGAGGGAACCCCCCCCAAAACGAACAAGGAAAGGGCATTTGTGGTTTCTCTTCAAAAGCCACGTCAAAAACCCACAAAGGAAGTACCAGCACGTGTACTTCCTGGAGAGCGACTTGACGGCCCAAGACCGAAAAGCCTATCGCCGATTTCAGGCACATGAGCGGCACACTTGAGCAGCTCTAGACACCCCCCGTTACATGCCAAGCAAGAGCAAGAGCGGTAGCCTCGCGCGTAAGCAACTTGATATGACATAGCGATTCATGGGAGGTTTAGAAGCTCGCTCACATGAATTTGCGGAGCTTCATCGCCCCTGGCCAGCTCGAGAGTGGAAGCGCAGATATCGGTGTTAAGAAAGAAAAACCGATGGGCAACCAGCACCCTCCAGCTGCTTCCTCCCATGTTAAAGCCAAAACAATAAAACGAACAAGCTCTGTCCGAAAAGCGGTCGCTGGGGGTGCCGGCCCTGGAATCTTGGGCTGGCAACGTGCAGGTGGGGGCAAAGAGAAGCTCCGCAGCACTGCCACAATTTCTGGCAGCAAAGCTGCCCCAAGTAGGCTGGGTTTTTCAAAGCTTGAAATCGGTGTGCCCAACGCATCCCGACGGGAGGCTCCCCTGGCGTCACGACGGATTACGGACCAGGGCCCCACCCATTTTGAAGAGCCCAGGCAGGTTAGCCCCCCAAAGTTGGGGTGTTATGGAGAGTTGAACCTGCAAGCGCTTCCAAATATCCATAGCGGCTATTGCCATAGCGACCGATCGATCTGACTCTCAGGTCTCCCCAATTGAGAATAGTTGTCAGTAGCTGCGACCAAAAAGGGCGGCCCTTGGCTGCTGGGGCCTTGGGAGCTCACGGCCGCCTAAAGGGAATCCGCTCGAAGTACCGAAAAGCCTTGAGAACAGTTGAACGGGCAAAAGAAAGGATGTTCGACAAGCCATGGCAAGACACTGCCCAGATCTGCGAGCGTTGCAACTTGTTTGCCTGCAACTCGCCTTTGTGCGAGTGTTTCTCCGTAGCAGTGTCAAGCCTTTGTCACTCACCACTTTCTCCAATATGGGTGTGTTTGTTCAGGCAACCCATTTTGGCCAGTAGGGAATGAGGGAACAGAAGGACCCCAAACTGAACCATCCAACTGGTAGTTATTCTTTTCTGGTTGTTTTTGTTTGGGGGGGGTCCATATTTTATTGCACACCCAATTTGCACCTCCTTTTTCAGGTGCTGTTCGGGGCGTTGGCCCCATTTTAAGTCACCCAACAGACCACCGAGAGAGACGTCTCCTAGGAAGCTATCACCGTGCGCGGCGGCGCGCCTGAGATGTCTCGCACCATCCGGCGCGCCTGCCACCCCGCCGCTGCCAACGACAACTCGCGGCTCTACAACTGCGTGCACCGAGAGCCCTTTGGCCTCAGAGATTCGGAGATTCGGATCGATCCACCCAAAAAATAGACGAAGGAACCGGGGCGTGTCTGTGTTTTTTTTTGTTTTAACTGGAGCTCCAAGATGGCTTCGTGTTTTTGTTTGTTTTGTTTTTTTTTCTCGTTTGAAAGCACGCAAAAGGGGAGACACGACCCATTTGTGCTGACAAAATATTTAATGCAACATAATAATGATGACAGAATACTGGCCTGCAGTTCAACATGGACAAGCAACCGCCTATTCAAGGGTATCCACACCCGAAATGCCAAATGATTGGAACGGCTTGATTCCTTGAAGTGACCAGAGGCAAACGGCCACCACTCATTTTGAGGCTCCATATCGTGTGTGGCCGTACCAGACATGAGCCAATGTCAACCACCACAAACAAATTGAACGGATTCCCTCCAGCACCCGCCAACTTTTCCCATGTCGAAATCCCCAAGTCGTCTTTGGGGGTGCTGGTGCTGGTGCCTTGCTTGGCTTCCATTTGCTTAATAAGAATATGTCTTATTTCCCCTGTTGGTTTTAAAGGGAATCGATTTCACTGGCAAGATGTTTATATTTTTGCCAGCGGACGTATCTGCAAATGGAAGTTGGTGGTCCGTCTTGGGCCACTTCGGACGCCGAGGAATCTCGACGAGTGGGTTTTGAGCCTCACCTCGGACCGCGCCCTCCGCGTGGATGCGAAGATCTCGCCGGGGGTGGTGCCCCGGAGTCCAAGCGAAGAGGTTCCTTCGGATGGTACTGACCTGGCCATTAAGTTTCGCAAAAGTGACGAGTCCAAAAGTGACCAGTCCCACGTAGTCCCACTAAAAGGGGACACCCCCTATGAATCAACCAGGGTTTGAGAATCTCAGGTCAACGTTAAGTTGCAACCAAAAAGAGTACCATCCGTTTCAGGGGCGTGACATGGACAGACTTTTGACCACTACCTGTGGAAACATGATGGCAGGCATATCCATTCAACATCTTTAGTGGAAAGGGCACCACCGACCTCTGAACGGCGGTGTTACTTGGGGCCGCAACGACAATGACGCTGGGCGAACCTATTTTTTAACTCATATCCCTCCAGGGCTTGTCCAGATTTGGGTCCGTAACTGGGGGGCATTGGGCTCAGAGAAGGCTAGCTGTTTAGTGTCAGAATAGGGGAACCCCCCACCCCCCCGGCAGGCACAGCGAGAAAACACCGACTCAACTTCGAACTTCGAAGGAAATCCAGAGGGAACCTCGACATCTGGAGCCATGCCTCGCGTGGGTTTTCTGTTTTCTTTGAGTCTACACGCTGTTTTTTGTCGGATTTTGGATAGGGACACCGAAAGCAAAATTCCGCCATGTTGGAGCCTTAAAGACGAGACCACCCATGTTGCCTGCGAGCAGGCCAGTTTTTGGCGCCCGGCCTGAGGCAGCCACAGCGGACTTCGGGCCTTTGATTTCTGCTTTTTTCTTTGAGCTTCAATGAGGTAAGCAGAGGGGTCTCTTTTTGCCACCTTTTGTGAGACAATTGCGAAGACCCCCTCAAGAAGGAATCCTTTACTAAGAGGGGGTCGATCAATTGTGCACAAAGGTGGCAAAAAGACCCCCCTGATTAGGCAGGTGAAATGTTTTGCGTGCAATTTGCTTGCTTGTTCTTTGTTCTCATCTGGTCAAGAAGGTGGTGATCTGCTGGCTGCAATACTGCCAAATGTGCCATGCTCAAAATATTGTCATGGACCCCCTAAAAAGTTCCACAAGAATGATGAGGACGTCTTCTAGCATGTTCCGTATGTTCGGAGTTTTGACCATTGGATTTGGTTTAGGAGAAACGAAGGACCGCAAAAGCGATTTTCTGTGAGCAAGCACCCCCCAAGGCATAGTTTACAGGAGTCAAACCAGAGGGGAACCGCGAGGGTTATGATCCTTCGTTGCGCAGTGACTTCGCTTGAACGCGCCGATTGGGCAGTGAGTGTTGTCTTGTTGCCGCCTTGTGATAAGGATTCCAACTGCATACGACAGCCATGCGCAATGCGGACGTTGCATGGAGTAGGTGACCACTCGCTTTGTGAAATGACAGGCTGGTATTACAAGATACATCGCGCCCGCAAGTCATCGAAATGCCTCCAGGTGAATTGTTCAAAAGGATGCAGGCACTAGTACCAACTTCAGGGCTCCAACCATAAAGTTTCATAGTCCAAACGGACGGCTGCGGCCTTGGCTTCCTGAGGATATGTACGCCAAGGATGGCATGTTGCTGAGCGGCGTTGCAACCATCGAATGCGTCCAGGCCGATCGCCGAAATCGAGCCCGGCAAGTTTTAGGGCTTGGGACCCCAAAGTTTACACCATTCATCGTTGTTTGCTCAGTTTTGATATACATGGCCCCAGCACGTCCATGTCCGAGTTTTCTTTGGGCGGAGCTTGTTTACTAGTAAAACTTGGGCTCGACCATGTTTTACTCAAAGCCAATGTTTTACTGGCAGTCCATTGTTGCTCAAGCTGTCAAACATCGGCTTTCATACTATTGCATCCCCTTCCCTTCCCCCCTCCCCCCGTCATCTACCCTCTCCAGAAAGACAGCCAAATGCGCCCACGCGCGTTTCCACCCAAAAGGAGGAGGGTTTCTGAAGCCCCTTCCTCTCCCTTCCCCTCCACCCTCTACTGCAGTATGCCTCGCTCTTCAGTTTTCGGGCAATAGTTTCATGCCCAAATTTTAGGGTATGAGCTTCACACCCTCCTAAACGACTTTGTTTCCCCGTGAATGTAATTAAACAAGTGGGTGTGAGGAGGGTGGTTGTGGGCGGGACTGTTCAATAATAACCATTGAAAACGCAAGGAGAACCACGGTAAATACCGTGAAGCCCTGTGCGAACTCCGCATTCACCCCGAGCGAACACCGTGAGAACCGCGCGAACACTGAATACCGTCAATAGCCCGTGAAAACACCGTGAACATTCCGTGAAAACCCCGTGAAAATACCGAAAAAACCCAGTGAAACCCACTGAACAACCACTATTTACCTGGTCAATACCATTTCAAGCACCAATTCAATGATTTTGGCCAGCTACAGGAGTGACAGCCGCAATACGAGTGTTTGTGCAAGCAGCCCTTTTCAGTTGCTGTTGGGCGTCAATGCGCAGATGTTCGGACACTAGTTCTAACTGCGGTTGATACGCGCACGGTGATCTGGCCTAAGCCATACGTGAACATTGCTTTGATCATGAAAATTAATGAGCCAAAGATGGATGGACTGTTCAACACGTTCTTGGCTGGAAGGATTCCAAAAGATGGCTTTATCGAATTTGCTATGGGAGTCAGCGCTAAACAATTGCAAGGGCGGGGCAGTGCGAAACCCGTGGGCTGCTGGTGTGTGCAATACGTTTCCGCTGCCCAATGCTTAAGAGATCTTAAGAGTGAAAATTGGGTCGCGCATTTAGCAGAGGTAGGTTCTGACTTTACTTGGGCGACCAAATCTTTTCTGACTTTACTTCCGCGACCACAGAAAACTTAGTCTTTGGAAGTATTGGGTGGCTCTAAATTTGATTGGGAATGCCCTCTAGGGACTCCTCATGTTTGTCCACCACAGGGTGCTAATACTCGTGCGCATTAGTGAGGTGTTCCGCTTCAAAACCGCTACAAGTTCATGCTTGAAAGAGCTGCAAGGACTTGCGGAGTTGAGTGTGCGACATGGATACCAGATGAGTTGGCCAGGTCAAACACGTCTAAATATGTACTATGTGATTCTTAGTTATATATCTATATATGTATGTATAGTTTGCATTTGTTGTTGTATCTACGTTGTGTTTGTTGTCTC